TTGAGAGTCGTTATTTTGATTTTTTTCAGTAAAATAACATTTTTTTAAATGGAAACCCCTGTATATTATATTTTTTTCTGTTAAAGCATCAAATTTTAAACAAAAAAGTTCATAATGACTTTTCCGCTAAAGTCAAAAATAAAGTCAAAATAACGATAAATATTTTTAATTATTTGCAGTATTATAATATTAAGACGGCTATGAAAACAACATGGCGTTCGCGATTTGACAGCATTAAGATAAGCGACAAATTGTTAAACTGGACATACTCGCAACTAGAAGGCTTTGGAAAACAATGATAAAATCAAATAATGTCAAACATTAGTGTAAATACTTGTTTATAAGCTTTATTGTGTCATTAATTTAAAGAAAAATGTTCTCCCATGAAGAAAAGTGTGATATGTTAGAATGCTATTTAGTGTGCAGAAAATCCTCCTTGAGAGCAATGAATTATATCCCGCTCGCGTTCAACCGTATGAACGATATTTTCTGAGACTTTATCGAAAATTTAGGGGCAACGAAAATGTTTTTGCTAAAACAAGGGCAAAAAAGAATTCATAATAAGCGAGGCCACGGAAATTGCAGTTATTGGATATTTTGAAGCTTATCGTGAGAATTCAATAGCAGATATTCTCAAGGACTCTAATTTCAGTTATGGTACTGTTCAAAGGATTTTAAAAAAATACAAATTTATTCCGTATAAGTACCGACCAGTTCAAACGCTTTTGGCAGGGGATCCAGAGAGAAGACTTGTTTTTTGCCATTGGTATCTTAGCTTCTGTCGCCAAAATGTAAATAACTTTCGTTACCTTTTATGGACAGATGAATCAAATTTTTCACATTCTGGAATGTTTAATAGAAAAAACCACCATTATTGGTCAAGAGAAAAGACTGCAGTTAGGGAAAAGATAACCCAGATAGATGGTAGGACCATACTTAAGACAGTTCGAGCAGTTGAAAAACGTGCCCAAAAATGTATTGAAGAACAAGGTGGTGTTTTCGAGCATCTTCTTTAAAAAAAATTGTTATTGTATTTTGTAAGATTATAAGTTGATGTTGAAAATAAAGTTTGTCGATACAATTTAATTGTTTCAGATTGGAGGCCATAACTTCAACAATTTGTAACCTAGGAGAAAAGTTATTGTAAGCTTTTTTGTTTAAAATTTGATGCTTTAACAGAAAAAAATATAATATACAGGGGTTTCCATTTAAAAAAATGTTATTTTACTGAAAAAAATCAAAATAACGACTCTCAATTGTTTTTTTTTTATTTCTCATTTTTACCAGCGTTAAAAATGCTACTAGTTTGCTAATTCAAACAACTTTGTATTTTCACTAATAACAAAGTTACTAATGGTGGACACTTAATTTGGATAACCCTGTATAAGAAATATAACAGTCACAAAACTACACAATTATATAACAGATTTGAAGAGGATCTTAATAGAGGTCACATTTGTATTAAATATATCAATTCTGTTTTGTAGATTGTTTAAGCAGGTACACATGGAATATGGCGGAGAATGCAGCAGTAAGTTGGTCCTGCGGGTTGGTAAATAAAACGTTAGGATGTTTCTCGTGAGACATCTTGGTATATTAAATGACAGGCGACTTAGAATATCCGGACAGTCATATTGGTTGTGAATAACCTTGAATAAGAATATTAGTGAGTGCATTTTTCTTCTGTGGTCTAAGCTTAGCATACCGTGCCTCTTTAATAATACATCTTGAGGAACACCTATTTCTGGATGGATACCATCTATCCTGTAGGACAGATATTTCAGAAACTTGCGTTGTATTTTTTCTATTGAGTCACAAGTCGTCACATAGCAGGGATTCCAAATAATTCTAGCGTAGTCAAGTTTTGACATTACAAATGCATTATGCAGCATGAGTAGAGCATTTATGCTGTCAAAATCACGAGAGTTGCGCAAATCAAAACCCAGACTTTTATTTACAGAACTTAGAAGGTAATTTATATGCGGATTGAAACTGAGGGTTGTGTCAAAGGTGACTCCAAGATCTTTGAATTCTCTTAGATTTGGCAGCGTTGTTTGATTAACCTTATAATGATATTCTATGGAGCGTTGTTTTCGGGAATATACTAAGTGACATATAAATCCGAACACCCAGTTTAAATGGTTTTATTTTAATAAAATTTTGTATAAGTACTTAATGAAGCATAATAAGTAAATAATAAAAATTTCAAAATAATTGCACTGCTTTAAAGCCCTTTGACCTTTAATAATGTGTGGATGCACCCTGATGTGCTACGCATTCTCCAACGCGCCTAGGCATGCTTCTGATCAGGTGGTCAATGTCCTCCTGTGGCATCTCATTCCAGGCAACCACCAACTCCTCTCGAAGTGCTTCTAGAGTCTGAGGAGGACGTTGCAAATTGAGCAATCTCCTACCCATCATATCCCACACGTGCTCAATTGGGGATAAGTCGGGAGATCTTGGTGTGCCATGGTAACAATGTGACATCATTATGTTGAAAGAAGTCTATTGTGACTCTTGCAACATGTGGTCGGGCATTATCTTGTTGGAAAGTTGGATCTGCCAGGGTGTCAAGATAGGGTAAAAGATGGGGTTCTAGAACTTCGTGGATATAACGCTGCGCGTTCATGTTCCCTCTGATGAAGATTAAAGGTGACCTGGAACCATAAGCTATAGCACCCCAAACCATAACTCCAACAGTGTGATGAACGTGTCTTTCAACAAAAAACTGTGGATTCCTCCTTTCACCACGTCGCCTTCTAACCCCGGCACGACCATCGTGTATGCCTAAACAAAATCGAGACTCGTCACTAAAGACAATTCTGTTCCATTCCTGATCTCAGAGTGACCGTTGTCTGCACCACTCAAGGCGATTACGTCGGTGTTCTCGAGTTAAAGGGAGGACCCAGTGTGGCCGGTATGAAAACAAGCCAAAACTTCTCATTCGTCGGTAAACACTTCGCATGCCAATAGGTCTTCCGTGTTCTGCAAACCATTCATTTGCAATGGACCTGGTACTGGAGAAACGGTCCCTTAAGGCCAATAATCTTAGGCGGCGATCTTCACGGTCTGTTGTTCTACGGCGGCGTCCAGTGCCCCTTGCTCTTTGCGTACGGCCTTCTGGAAGCTATGCCTGGCAACACCTAACCACAGTGTCTACACTTCTTTGCACTCTAATTGCAATTGCCCGAAAAGAAAGTCCAGCTTCCCGAAGTCCCACTATACGGCCCCTATCAAACTCACTAAGTTGACGAAATCGTACAGGTCTCCGTACTCTAGGCGTCGTAACCGATCGTAAAGGATGTCGAAAACCAAAATCCGCCAACGTTGATTCTTTACTGCGGCTGAAATATTCATTTTTAGAGCGGTAGTGAATTAAAAAAAAGCAGTATAAAAACCGGAATGTCCAACTGATAAGGCTGAACATTTTTTCACTTGTTATTTACAGTAAGATAAATACATTCACCAACTTTTATTAAAATAAAACCATTTATACTGGGTGTTCGGATTTATATGTCACTTAGTATAAGTCACGCTGGTACACTTGGACGCATTCATGGATAGGTTATTATTATCGCACCAAATCATTATTCTGTTGAGATTATCTTGGAGACGTTCGCAATCAGTGCTGTTGCTAACCTGAGTATAAATTTTAAGATCATCGGTATATAAGAGATATTTGCAATCAATAACGTCACAAATGTCAATGATAAATATGATAAAAAGAAGTGGTCCTAGCGATGATCCCTGTAGAACACCTGATGTTGGCGTACACTTTTGAGATTTGGATCTCTTGAATTCCACAAACAGCTTACTGTTGGACAGATAGGATTTCAAAAGGTAGTAATAGAATGGTTGTATTGTTGACAAAAGTTGAGTTCTATGCCAATGCTGTGCAAAGAATACTGCGTAGACGTTCTTGCAACCCTAACAGGACTGATAATTGTTAATTGTGCGTAATAATTTTGTTCAGACAGGTATTGTATAGGTATATATATATAAATACAATCAACTGTTAATTGAGAAGTTAGCAAAATTTTTTAGGCTGTAGTAAACTCTTTGAACGGTAATCTTGAGCTGTCGGCTTTTCTATGGAGCCATCTTCAGGAGCTGAAAACACAAATATGAAGCTAGCAATCAATACGGGAAGGGTTTAACTTATCAGACAACTTACTCGACGCTGAGGTTGCAGCCAAATGGTGTTTCAAAACGAAGGCGTGGATGAGAGCACTTGTTACAAATATAAAACCAAAAGGACGGACACATTGCGTTTATTGATAACGACGGAAACCATCCTTAGGTGTTAACACATTAAAAATTATCGAAATGCAATTTTGGGGGAAAAAGCCGGCAGAGCCACTTCTAGCCGCCTACAGCTGTTTCACGTGGAGAAAATGAGCGAACCGGACTGATGACTTTTATACTAGGTTCGACTGCTATAGTTTGTACCTACTTGTAATGTGATGTTTATGTTATACAGACTGTCAGTTATTTGGCTATATTCCTATACCTCTTGTCTAAAGAGGAAATAAACATTATTTATTTACTTTATATCTGTTCACAGGACGGCTACTGTAATTTAGTGTAAGTCAGATGCATAGGACCCTTTTGCACTTTCATTGCTTGAGCCTGAGATGTACCAAGTTTTAAACTAATGTATGAGACTAACCAATAAACCGTCGGTTGCCTACACACATGAGAAGAGCAGGAAGTACGTATGTACAGTACCGAGCAAAAGTAGAGGAACAAACCACATTACAAATAAATATTCTGAAAGGTTTACTCTAACCTAAAACTGTACACTAAAGTTTTTTATATATGACTACGTTAAGATAATGAAATGCTTATCTTTGTATACATTCTTTTTTTTTCAATATGGCCGGTTCTTTGTTGAACGAGCAAAAGTAGAGAAACATTTTGTAAATATTTAGTTTATATTTAGTCGTTGAGTAGAATAGGTGTTATTTTTGAATGTGTTTGGTAAAGTGTAGTTCAAAAACATGGCCAGAGGAAGTACATTGAATTTGCAAATAAAAAAATTGATTATTTTGAAATATCTATCAGGCATTAAACAAGCAACCATAGCCAAACAGCTGAATTTAAGCCGATCGGTAATTTGCAAAGCTATTAAACTGTTCCGCCTCAGAAAATCGTTGGTAAGCCCTCCTAAGACTGGTAGACCGCGAAAAACTACACCTAGGATTGATAGGAAAATTAAAACACTTGCTCTTAAAAATCCATGTACTACTGCTGTGGACATAAAAGCTCAACTTAAAGAAGTAAATATTGGTGTCCACACTGTTCGACGACGTTTAAGGGAGGGAGATTTACCAGCAGGGAAACCATCTAAAAAACCCTTTATTTCCATAAAAATCGGACCGCCCGTCTTCAATTTGCTTACGATCATTTGAACTGGTCAGAAGCAAGGTGGAATTCTGCATTATTTTCTGATGAAGGTAAATTTAATTGATTTTCATCGGATGGCATTTTATGGGTAAGACGTCCTAAAAACAAGCGATTTGATCCTAAGTTCACTTTGGGCACAATCAAACACGGAGGCGGGAAGGTTCAAGTATGGGGTTGCTTCTGTGGTCTTCAAATGGGACCCGTCGTCAAAATTGAAGGAATTATGGACCGGTACAAGTACTTGGAATTATTAACTGATACCATGCTACCTTACGCAGAAAAAACATGCCTCTACGCTGGCGGTTCCAGCACCACAACGACCCCAAGCACACAGCGAATATAATAAAAACATTTTTTGCAGATCACAATATTAATGTCATTAAGTGGTCAGCTCAGAGTCCAGACCTTAACTCCATATAGAACCTATGGGATTTAGTTGATAAAAAAATTCGGACTGAACATCCAGAAAAGTTCAAAAATAGTGCCGAACTATTTGAAACGATCGAAGTCGCCTGGAATTCTATTCCAAAAGAAACAATAGATAGCCTAATTGGTTCTATGAGAAAAAGATGTCTAGCAGTTATCAAAAATAAAGGCTATGCAACCAAGTATGTATTAGCTTCTTTGTATACGACAATTGCTTTGTAATACCAAATTGACAATTGTTGACAAACTCATTCTGTCAAAGTGAACTTTATGAGAAATTGATATAAGGAGTGTTCATATGCAATATGACCAAAAAGAAGAAAAATGAATGCGAAAACGAAATTATAGAACGAAATATTCAAATTAGCGTAAGTGAAAAGAGTACCAAAGAAACTAGTGTCAAAGAGAATCATTATCTTAAACAGCTTTTGGAAGAAAAGGAAAGATTCATATATCAGTTGGTAAATGAAAACCGTAGACTACAGGAAGGATACGACTTGTTTTCTGCCAACATAGTAGAGAAGGAGTCCGTTGTATCTACTTTGGCTATTGTAACTGATCAACTAGAACAACTTGAGAAAAGAACGTCAGAAAATACATCATACTCACAAATTTTAAAGCAAAATACTCCTAAAATCAATAGCAACAACAAGAACAACAATGACATGAAATCCATATTAGTTACTCCCGAAAGGACCCAACATTATAATGACACCAGAAAAGACCTAACTAATAACATTAATCTAGCAAGTATTGAAGTCAAGATAGAGAAAGTAAATAATTATAAAAACAGCGGCGTCGAAATTCAAGTTGAGCAATGTTATTACCAGAAACTCAAAAATGAACTAGAAACTAAGTTGAAGGGAAAATACAATATATCAGGAGCAAGAGAAATGAGACCGAAAATTAAGATCATAGGCTACAAAACTGAAAAAAAAACCTCAGAAGCAGAAATTAAAGAAGAAATCATATCCCAAAATATATTCATTAATGAAAACGAAATCGAAATCACTTTTGTACGACACATACCATTCCGAAATACTTATACTATATTCGCTGAAGTTTCTGGAGAGCTATATAAAGACATATTTATCAACAAGAAATCAAGAATACTACTAGGTTGGCAAAGCTTATTTGTCTATGACAATAACCAGATATCGCAGTGTAGAAAATGCTTGAAGTTTGGTCACACAGACAAAAAATGTAGGGGCGCGGAAATGTGCATTAAATGTGGACAAGCACATAGAAGTGAAATTTGTACTGTAAACATTTTAAAATGTTTTAACTGTATGAACTATAACGTTAAGCATAATAAGAATAATGATGTTGGTCACTCGCCCACAGACAAAAAATGCCCGTCGTATTTATATTTTCAAAAACAGTATCCATCCAGAATAATGTTTTGAGCGTTTAGTTCTTTTTACGTTTTTCGAGCTACATATCATTTACAAAATTTTACATGGATAGTTACGTAAATAATTTTCAGGTTAATGATATCAGTACAAATATTGCTCAAGACGCAAATGCTCTTAATAAATGGTTAGAATATTCTAATTTCAATGTTAGCTTATATCACATGAATATACGAAGCCTAAACCAAAATTTTGACTGTTTTAATATCTTCCTAACTACAATTAGACACAAATTTGATATAATAATATTAACAGAAACTTGGAAAATTAATGATGTATCTTTGTTCTGTTTGGAAGGTTATGATACGCTTTACAATAATGGTATGTACAACCAGAATGATGGGGTGGTAGTACGAGTATATGTAAGAAATGATATCAACTACAGATGTGATTTTGTTAAATTTGATGACGGTATCACAGTGTTGGATTTGATATTGAGAATTAATAACATAAGTGTAAAAGTCACATCTGTCTATCGACCACCATCATCAAACCCTCATGCATTTGTAGAAAATCTTGAAAAATTTTTGTTAGATAACAAAAATGCCATACAGTCACACCACATCATAATAGGAGATATGAATATTAATATACTCCAACATACCAAATTAGTAAACAAATACCTCACTGTAATGCAGAGCAATGGATTCATATCAAATATAAATTTACCAACAAGAGTAGTCAATAATAGTTCCAGTTCTTGCATTGATCATTGTTTCATCAAAAATTTTTCAAATTTCTTTCGGTACATACCGTTAGTTGTTGAAAACCATATTACCGATCATTTACCCACTGTAATACTTATATCATCACCAGAAAAAAATTAAAGTAGATCCATCTCCAATAATGAAACAGTGAAATTTAGGTGTTTTGTCGATAATAAAAAACTACTTGCAAATATCAAATTAGAATCGTGGACAGCAGTGTACTGTGCAACGAATGTTAATGATGCTGCAAACACCACTCATTGAACGCATAAAATATTTAATTGAATGTAGTACAAACAGAGTTAAAATTAAACATTTTGACAGAAACAGGAATCCCAGGATAACTAAAGGTTTGATCCCATAAATATAAAGAATATAAAAATATTTTTATCAATCTAGTTAGAGAAGCAAAACGCCAATTCTATCTAAAAAAATTACAAGATGCCAAATCTGATCCAAGAAAACTGTGGTCAGTTGTCGATCACTTAACTAACAAAGACGTTCAAGAAAAGCCAAATATTGATGAAATTAAGAATCGTGATGGAACAATATTAACAGATAAACGACAAATATCCGATGCATTCTTAAATTTTTTCACTAATGTTGGAGAAAATTTAGCATCCAGTATTAAAAAAATGGTTTCGAACGAAAAGTTCACAAAAACCCAACTTCCCAATTCATTCTTTTTAGAAAGCGTTAGTCCGATTGAAGTACAAGAAGCTGTCCTATCACTTAAAACCAAAAAAGTCCTGGTGTGGATGGTATCAAAGCTGAGCATTTAAAAATAATAGCCTACGACTTAGCCGAACCACTTTCTTACGTCATTAATTGGTGTTTCCAATCTGGAATTTGTCCTGATGGATTTAAAACAACTGTTATTACTCCTGTTTATAAAAGCGGTGACAGAATGGAAACATCAAATTATAGACCCATATCAGTACTATCGAATATAGCCAAAATTTTCGAAAAATTACTACAAAAAAGGATATTACAATTTTTGGACAAAAACAAAATTATATGTTCTGACCAATATGGATTTAGAAAAGGAAAATCCACTACAGATGCAATTTTGGCTGCAATGGATGAAATTAACTCTAATGTCAACAAAAAGATACCTACTATTGGTATCTTTGTTGATCTAAAAAATGCCTTTGATACGGTTAACCATGTCGAGCTTCTGAAAGTTATGGAAAGATTGGGATTTAGGGGAGCGTCACAAATCCTTTTAAAAAATTACCTTTCAAGTCGGGCACAGACTGTCAAAATCACTAACACTTACAGTAAAAAAATGTACATCAAGTGTGGTGTGCCTCAAGGAACAGTACTAGGCCCACTATTATTTAGTCTTTACTTAAATGACTTATTCAAAATTAACAGTTCTGGAAAGATTATATGTTTTGCAGATGACACCCTCGTATTATATAAAGCTGATGACTGGAGCACACTGAAGCAAATAGCTGAAAAGGATTTTATAAGGATCATTGACTGGTTTGATACTAAAATTTTAACATTTAACTTCAAAAAAACAAAATTTATTGCATTTACATCCTATTCAAAATTTTCACCTACCTTCGAACAAATTTCCGTCAATTATCATGGCCAAAAGACCAAAATCGATAGAGTTAACACTTTGAAATATCTTGGAATATTTATAGACTCACATCTAAGGTGGGATAACCATATTAAATATGTTATCAAAAAAATTAGAAATGTTGCCTATAAACTCAAAATGTTTGCTAACATTCTTACAGAAAGTTATCGGTGAATCCTATACCATGCCTTAGTTGAAACCCATATAATATACGGCATCACAGCCTGGGGTGCTGCCTGCAAGACATATATTTCTGACCTGAATATAGCACAAAAAACTGTTTTGAAAGCCATTTTCCATAAGCCAAGATTATATCCAACGAACAACTTAGATCAAGAAACAGGGATACCTGATACAAGACAACTTTATTTCTTACATGCCACCACCTTATACCACTAGTATTGTAATAAAAAGAAAAAATCCTATAAACACGAGCATAACACACGATTTCGAATAGGCTCATCTAATATCCAAAGACCACACAAAACATTATTCAAAAAATCATTTAAATTCTTAGCAGCTAAATTATATAAACGAAATAAAGATACTTAATTTTGGAAAAAAAATTAGAAGAAAATTGAAAGCCTGGGTTAGTAATGTGCAGCGAATGACTATACATAATTATATAGAAAACTAAAACTACAAAATTCCAATTACATTAATACCTTTTAGATTTAACAATAATTGTTATACACATATATGATTGATTGTTAGTTATTAAGATATAAACCACACAC